TGATGACATCATTATTTAATTTCCCTCTCCTAGCACACCCACTTTATTGTTAAAAATAGTCTTTCAAGTGGATGAGTGGTCCATTATCTCAGCAGAACTGTCTGTGAGTCAGAGAGCAAAGGTTGAACCTGCAAACACCTGCTTCAGAAACATTTCTATGTATTACACATTAATATGTATGTTTTCGCCACATATTCTAGTAGGGTATGATGTTGTCACACCACTTTGTTACAAGAATAGCCAAGACGTTTTGCATGTCTTGCTAATATCAAAAGTGCAATGATGTAGGCGTGCGACTGCGAAGACTGTAAATTCCTGTACTTGACATCCTCAGGATTCTCCTCCTGGTGAACCAGCATCAACATGTGAAACATGCAGCTCCATTAGCGGCAGCCCTCAAGCTACAGCAGCTCAATACCTCCTCCATCCGACTTGCCTGAGCCTCCAGCTCGCTCCACTCGCAGATACCCTCGCACCTCCACCAAATCCCACCGCACCATCGCCGGAGGAAGGGACACAGTCAAAGCCCACCAGCCCCTTCCTCGCCCATATCCGAGAGTCCAGTCGAGTCTCACAGCCCCCTGAGCCCTCGTCTCCAGCTGGAGGCCTGAGGATATATCCACCTCTCTGCAAGAACCAGAGGCTCCCCAAAAATATAGATGCACTGAACACGTTNTTCATTTATACATCTAGATGATGTCATTCCAAATAATGACTGATCATGAGCGGAGGAATCCTGTATCACTCTACATCTTAAAAGAGAAGGTATGATGACATCATTATTTAATTTCCCTCTCCTAGCACACCCACTTTATTGTTAAAAATAGTCTTTCAAGTGGATGAGTGGTCCATTATCTCAGCAGAACTGTCTGTGAGTCAGAGAGCAAAGGTTGAACCTGCAAACACCTGCTTCAGAAACATTTCTATGTATTACACATTAATATGTATGTTTTCGCCACATATTCTAGTAGGGTATGATGTTGTCACACCACTTTGTTACAAGAATAGCCAAGACGTTTTGCATGTCTTGCTAATATCAAAAGTGCAATGATGTAGGCGTGCGACTGCGAAGACTGTAAATTCCTGTACTTGACATCCTCAGGATTCTCCTCCTGGTGAACCAGCATCAACATGTGAAACATGCAGCTCAATTAGCGGCAGCCCTCCAAGCTACAGCAGCTCAATACCTCCTCCATCCGACTTGCCTGAGCCTCCAGCTCGCTCCACTCGCAGATACCCTCGCACCTCCACCAAATCCCCACCGCACCATCGCCGGAGGAAGGGACACAGTCAAAGCCCACCAGCCCCTTCCTCGCCCCATATCCGAGAGTCCAGTCGAGTCTCACAGCCCCCTGAGCCCTCGTCTCCAGCCTGGAGGCCTGAGGATATATCCACCTCTCTGCAAGAACCCAGAGGCTCCCCAAAAATATAGATGCACTGAACACGTTTGCCAAGCCCACATGCTGCAAAAAGTCAGATAATGACCTGCACAAATACTTTTGCATTAATGTATGTAAATATGTAAATACACATATATGTGTCTATGCTCCAAAACTCTGCAAACTTGTTTAGCTTCATCATGTTAAGACACATTTTATTTGAAACAATATTGTAAATGTAGAGTTGATCTAACACACTATGGGCCAGATTTACTAACAGCTTGCGCCAGCGCATACTCTTTTAGTGTTTAAAATCCATTGTCGGGATTTTGTAAAGACACGCAGTGAATTTTTTTGTACTGGAATGGCATTGGCGAGGACAGGGTTATTTTTGCAGCTAATCTTATTGCATATGCATTTGTTGGAGTTTCCCTTTCAGACGCAAAATTTATGGGAGTAGAGTATTTAAAGGGATAGTTCACTTTGAAATTAATTTTTGATATGTTTTAGCTCACCTCAAGAGCATCCAAGATGTAGGTGTCTTTGTTTCCACAGTATTTTCAATTCATTTTTCTGTCAAACCTTTGTTGTCTATCAGTCATATAATGCCGATATAGGGGGTCCAGGTCAAAGAGCATGCACAAAGAAGTCAAAATTAAACATGATTTATGACTCATAAATTTAAGTACACATTGATGGCCTAGGACACGAAACGAGGGGTTTGTGTGAGAAAACGAACAGTATTTATATTGTTTTTACCTCGTGTAACCACAGCAAATCAATTTGTTAAACACAAATCGATAGTGTTTCTTCAGAAATTTTTGACTAAATTCATTCCCTCATTTCATGTGAATTCGTTTTACAGTCTCTTTATGGCTTTTTTGAAGCGTCAAAAATGTAGCTGCTTAGCTGTCAACAGAGGGACAGAAAATTCAGATTTCATAAAAATAAATATATTTGTGTTTTGAAGATAAACAAAAGTCTTATGCATTTGAACAATTGCACTCCCATCGCATTTATATTTTTCATTATTCTTTTTTATTACTCTTTCACACTAATTTGTCCTGTTTAGTAAATCTGGCCCAATGTCTCTTCACTCTCAGCGATGTCTGTGTAGTGCAATTGTGAAAGGGGGTGTGGGAATTATATGCTTTGAGGTCAAATAGGGATGCAAAAAAACGACAACATAACTTGACGATACTTCGACATTTTGTTCTACAAAGTAAATTACGCACAGCGAAAATGTGAATTTTAAAAAGAATTTTATGTTTATTTTTGAAAACGTATGTTTCTCATAACTAAATACTTTAGACTAAAGACTTTTGGGGTGTAAGTGTGTGTAGTTTACGTTGTACAACAAGACCTCACAATATCGTCAAGTTTTAGTTACCACAGGTTTTATTTTACTCACAAAATGAAAAAAAAAAACATTGGAAAACCTCATTGGAAAATCTTGAAGGAACCTCCGGTGAATTAGTCTTCCAGGTTCTCACCTGCAAAATCCTCTGCTAAAGTCTATACCTTAAGTCCCCGAAAAAAAATATGAACAAATCTTAAAATATGTCAGTCCCATTGTTTTGTCGCAAGATTAAACAAGATTAAAGATTAATAAAATTTACTTTAATACCGTCATAGCAACACACTTGCAACCAACCAGAATTCCCAAGCCATAGAGCTATCTACATATATTTCAATGGGCTGCTATAGCCTATGTAAGCCTTCAGCCATATTGGAGCGGTCTGTGAACATTCGAGAGCAAGTTGACTTACTGTCTGCAACTGTAGTTAGACACATATTTGAATATATGAAATAGAGTTTACCTGATGATTTTGCTAAACTAACACAATACAACAAAATGAAGGCGTCAGCTAACACGTTAAAACGTTACCGTAGTAAAAGTAAAAACATGAAATATTGAGTTATATAAAAACACAAACCAACACATTTTCACCTGAGAAAGTTTATCTCATTTCTTCAAGAATTTAAATCTCGGCAGTTTCAAAACCATAATGTTGTGGCATCATTGATTCTTACTGTGAGTGACAAAACGCTGACCGTTGCAAGATGGCGGCTCGCTGATGTGTCTCCCGGTCGAATGTGGATCCTACGTTTAGCTACATATCTATGTCCCAAGTAATTACCTACAAAACCACCCAGAACACCCTATAGCAACCACCTAGCAAGATCTGCATTCAAACTACTTAATTGAATAAATTGTTTACAATTGTTGCAAACTCCAGGCTAGGCTTTGTCAAGCCAACAGTGAATGTTTGTCTTTCCTTTTCTTCTTTCTTCCTTTTATTCACTTAAAGAACAAGAACAGGTCTGTTTTTTTCATTTTGTTGAATGTACATGACAAGTAGAGTTGATCTGTAAAGAAGATGTTAAATAAAATATTAAGAAAGATCTAAATCCAATCTTTCACATATTTGATGAGACTTTCACCCGCCAATAATCTGAGCATTATGTAATCGTGTATCTCTCGTTGAAGTTCATTCTGTCCCTGAAAAGGGAGAGACAATGTGCATGCTGATTCACACAAAAGACACAGTAGGCTCCTTGTTATGCATGGGCACGGCCGTTGAGAACAGGCATTGTAAAGAGAGCAGGCTGATCTTGTGTTGATTCATACCATGCATAAATGTATAAGTTGGAGACAGAAACCCAAATAAGCACATATGCAAATAGCTTACTCTGAAAAAACAATCACTATAGTTTCAAGCATGAACAGAAGTTTTAAAAGTCAAGTCACTTTTATTTATATTGTGCTTTTTACAACACAGATAGTTTCAAAGCAGCTTTACAGTGAAAACAGGAAAATTATGCATTTCGGCAGTCAAGTTATTTAGTGTTGATTCAGTTCATCTATATAAAGAAGTTCTGGAAAAAAAGAGCTCAGTTCGGTTCTCATACAACAGTATCAGTGCAGTAAGATCAATAATATTGTTGAATCTCCTGGTTTTGTAGTGTGTTTTTTTTTTTCTAAGGCATATTAATAAAAGCTAATTGAATGCTCCAACTGAACCAAGGCCTAATCCTGTCTTAATCTAAAGCTTATCTGTGAAACCAGGCCAACAAATTAAAAAAAAAAAAAGAATAAGTAGGACATTACATGACAACAATGGCTATGTAAAATGATAAAATTACCATTTTCTTTATATACATTGAAAAAATAAAACGTTACATCTGTGCAGTGAGGTTGTAAATAAATAAACACACATAGGCCTACATACATAATACATGCATACATATAGCCTTCATACATAAATAGTCTACATACATAGCCTACATAGATACATACAGCATACATATACATAGCCTACATACATACAGTACATAATAATTGCATATTTACATACATACTCTGTTTTAAATTCGTACACAATATAGCCTACATTATATTTATTTAGAAAAAAAATCAATGCTATGAAATTCGGTGTAAAACCTACTATATTTAATTTTAGTTTCCGCTAATTCGGTTAGGTCTAGAGAAAAGGTAGTATAACTGCGTGGAACTGATACGAGCTGGTAGTCTGTTTCCCATCGAACGTACATTTAAGAACACATCGGGCGTGACCAAATCGCTACAGCTTTTGATAGGCGTTACTTTTGACAAATAAAATCATACCTTTACAAAACTGTGGCCAATAGCATCATAAATAGGCGTGTCTTAAGCTGTTGTGATTCTGTTAGCGTCATTGACAACGGAGCTTTAATTCTGTCAGTTACAGGAGTAAAAAATAAATACTAACGATATTTGCATGAGGACGGTAACAACATTATATCGCTGTCCTTTAAAGAAGCACGAAGGATCAATGTTGTGCTTGCTAATAAGGTCAGAACATCAGTGACTTCAGAAGCCATTACATGCTAGTTATACTCATTCATATCTAACGTTACCAGAAAAAAATTATGCGAAAATGAATCAAGCAAGAACAGCTAAAGAAAGGATTTGCTCTTCGATAACGCAAAAGAATGTATTAAAAGAAAATAAAAGGATAACGAATGGAAACAGAAGAAAGGCCAAAGGTGTGAGAGTGTTGGCCGAGAGGAACCCGGCTGTGGCGCCAGTGGGTGTTTGGGTGGAGAGTGGAGATGAGTGTCAGGAACATCCCGCGGTAAGAATTTACTCCCATATGACACAAGTTTATTAGTTAGAAACGGACTTCATTGACGGACAGTACATGTGTGTGTCTGTCGCGCTTATTATAGTCTGTCCCACATTCTACTGGCCTGTAAAACGCGTCAAGAAACACTCCCACATTTTTCTCCCTTTAATTTATTTGGAAAATTAATAACAGTTACTGTTAACTTATTACAAACCAAAATCTAGGCCCAAACTAGCTGCCACTGAGTTGCATCTACAAACCCCTGTTACTTTCCACATTACCAGGGTTATTATATAATAATAATAATATTGTTATATTATATAACTAAAATTTCAATAAAATAAAATATAAAAAAAAAAAACAACTTTTTCAGCTGATTGCCAAAGACAGCATTTCGAATTTTCGTTTAAGTACTTAAATAACTAAAACCGAAACAAAAATTAAAGGAGTTGTTTACTTTAAAAAAAATAAAACTTTTGCTGATAATTTATGCACCCCCATGTCATCCAAGATGTCCATGTCTTTCTTTCTTCAGTCGAAAAGAAATTAAGGTTTTGGATGAAAGCATTCCAGGAATTTCTCCATATAATGGACTTCAATGGGAACCAAACGGTTCAAGGTCCAAATGAGAGTTTCAGCGCAGCTTCGAAGGGCTTTAAACGATTCCAGACGATGAATAAGGGTCTTATCAAGCGAAACGATCGCTCATTTTAAAAAAAAGTTTAAGTTTTATAAGCTCAAATGGTCGCCTTGCTCTGTTCTGTGATGAGCGTTCGTGACTCTCCTGTTCAAAGTTGTTCATCAAAATGAACAAATCTTTTTTCGAGTCATGACTCAAAGGGTCCTAGATAAGACCCCTATTCATCGTCTGGTGTCGTTTAAAGCCCTTTGAAGCTGCAATGAAACTCTCATTTGGACTTTGAACCGTTTGGTTCCCAATGAAGTCCATTATATGGAGAAAATCCTGGAATGTTTTCATCAAAAACCTTAATTTCTTTTCGAATGAAGGAAGAAAGACATGGACATCTTGGATGACATGGGGGTGAGTAAATTATCTGCAAAAGTTTTTTTTTTTTTTAAAAAGTGAACTACTCCTTTAATACAACTATAGACTTTTTTTAGACGCCCGCCCAAACCATATATATGAAGGGTAAAGAAGGGTAAAACTGACCTGTCTCACGACGGTCTAAACCCAGCTCACGTTCCCTATTAGTGGGTGAACAATCCAACGTTTGGTGAATTCTGCTTCACAATGATAGGAAGAGCCGACATCGAAGGATCAATATGTATGCATGTGTATATATATATATATATATATATATATATATATATATATATATATATATATATATATATTCAAAAAACCCAAAATAACTGTTATTATACATTATTTTTTTAAATGCCAAAACCACAACAAAGTAACTAAAAGTAATATTAAAATGTAAAATTATAAACTTTACTGTTACTTAGGCAATTATACATGTACTTATTTATACATTTTGTTCATTTTTATTATTAATGTGAATTTATTTTTAATTATTTAATTCATTTATAATGTGATTTTTAATCAAATAATATATTATTTATTATTTTAAGCTGTTTTTAGATGCATCCCAAATTTGCATAAAAGGGTTGCAAAACTTGCAAACACCAAATAAATGCATGAAATCATGAGATCATCAAATTACCTCTTGGGGTTAAAGAAAAGAAAATACTTTAGGGCCCTATTTTGTACCTTATTTGTGGAAAGTGTCAACTATAACCAGTGAGTCATGTCACGTAAATCTCACCCTGTGTGTGGGGCAGGTCCGGGCTTTGCTTACGGAAGAGCTTCTGGAGGAGACCCGACGAGAGAAAGAGGAGAGTCTGCGCCGGTTTCAGGATGCAGTTCGTAAACGTGTTTCACAGCAGGTCCATCTGCGCAAGCAACAGCAGCTACTGAAATCATATGAGACAGTAAGAAATGTCTGTTACTGAGCAACAAAGGCACTTTTTTCACCTGAGTAATAAGCAATAAAGACACAAATCCTGTGCTCTTTGGAAATAGAACCATGTTAAACTATAGCATAAACTTAACACTTTTGTTTAAACGTTTGTTTCAGAGGTCTCTTATGCTCACTTAAGCTACATTTGTTCAATTAAACATTGTAAAAACATTAATAGTGAAATATTTTTGCTATTCTTCAAAAGTTTTCTATTTTAAAATGTCATTTATTCCTGTGCCGGCAAAGCTGAATTTAAACAGGGTCATTACTCCACTCTTCAGTGTCACATGATCCTTCATAAATCATTATAATATACTGTTTTGATGCTTGTTGATGATTTGATCAAATTGATTTAATTAAAACATATTTTTTGTTCAATTTAATGCATCTTTACGGAATAAAAGTATCATTTTACTATTTATATACACTAAATTATATTATTTATTAGTACATTTTCAGTTTTCATTTTAGTTGATGTTGTAATTTTGTTGCGCCTTTGTCATTTTATTGAATTTTTTTTTTTTTTTTTTTTAGCTTTAATTTATACTTTACACTAAATTTAGTACTTCAACTTTGGTAAATTGCCAAGACAACCAGTTTTGCATCTAATATTAATATTCTATTTCAGCTTTACTTTTCTTTATCGAAAAACAATTTCTAATAATTTTACTTAGTTAACAATATTATAAAACAATCTTACTGACCGCAACATTTAGAACAGTAGTAAACACGGTATAAAAAGTAGCTAGTTTTAAACGCATCAAATGTTTGTGAAAATTGCCTTTTGTATTTTATTGTCACCAACAACCATAAGCTTATCTGAATAACTGTGTGGAAAATCATGACACCTTATACTAACAAATGCTCAAATAGTCATTTGTGTGAACTTTTCTTCTTCTTTTTTTTTCAGGTTGAATGTGAGGACAAAGTATTGCAACAAACCAGCCATCGCCTTACACCTCAAACCAATGTATTTCCTTCCTGGACACATGGGGAGCGAGTTATCTGCAGTCCCAGCTCTCGCTTGGTCAGTGCTCAGGGGACAGAGGCCATTTCTTCCAGTCAGCACACACATCATGTACGGGTATTTACAGGCAGAATCTGATTTCACCAAGTGCAACACCTTTGTTGATCCTGGAGCAACGTTCCAATTAACCAATCAGATTTGAGGGACAAGTTTAGGATTACAACCAGGGTTAAGTCCCTATAATTTCCTTCAGATTTTAGGAAGAACTTAAGGATTAGGGCTAGGGATAGGGTGAGGACTAAATTTTTTGTACTGTTGTTCCATGATCATCAAAATAAGTCCATCCAGGAACTATCTGGATCATTTTGCTTGTATGTTTTTGTCAGAATCTAGATGTTAATGTATAATGGGACTATTTCCAGGTCAGTAAAGTCAGGAAGCAGGTGAGACACAGACTTGCTGCTCGTCAAATAGTGCAAGATGGAGATGAACTATCACAGCTACCTGGTGGGAGATGGAAAATATCCCCAGCTAGAAATGTGAGTCATGCATGATGCATTCGGGTCATTTCTGAGACCTGAACGTTCAGTGTTGTTGTATTAATATCTTCACATTTGTTATATGCAGAAACCCGAATCACATACTTTGAGTGATCAGAAGGATTATACTGAAGGTTCGAATGATGGAGGAGAGGAAAACGAGCAGGATGTTGACTCGGAAGATGAGATGCTGTTGGGGCAACATGATCAACCTCTTCATTTGCATCACCACAGAAGCAAGGCTGTAACTTTTCAGAACGATAGGGTGAGAAGATCTTGTTTGGCCTTAAATTTAGTCCCAGATGGCACACCTACGTTAATACGTAAAAAGTCCTGCTTATCAGTCCGCTGGAAAGCAAGGCTTTCCTGACAAATGTCTGTGCTGCCACGTTGAAGTAAGTGCTTCTGAGGGAAAAACTGTATTTTTTTTTTGTGTAAGTTTGTGAGGTTTGTGGCATAGGATCTTAGAAAGACATGGAGAGTAAACAAGGTGTCCTTGAAAACCACATTATATCCTGTGTTGTTTGTGCACTATGTTGATTAAATAAGTGTTAAATGGTCAAAAGTTTATTTTTAATTTTTTAGTTTACACACACGTCTTTAGTGTTTTCTATATCACAGATTATAGATGCTACAGACCCCCAAGTATGATGAGGTATTCATGTATAAAGTCCCAATTTATACTGTAAAAAAATGTATATTATAAATGAAATATATATAGTAAAATTCTGAGTTTCTGTTCTACATTATCAAGTCTTTTTCTTCTCACTAAAGTATTGTATTCTTAGAGGGCTGTCAAAGTCAACGTAAGATACGAATAAAATACATTTAACGTATTTTTTTTAACATTCATATTCTCCAGATTTGATAATATTATTATTTAATTTAGCTTCTAACTATCATTGTGATCATTTTACACAAACAAAACACACAGGTTTGTGGAGAAAAAGTAATTGACTTTAATCAATGACAGTATAAAACCAAATTATTTTGTCTTCGGGTCTTTGTAATATCACACATAGTATTCTCCTCACATTGTATAAATGTGTTTTAATACATGAGAATATATAAGTGCTTTATGTTTTAGACAAAACACTTTTGCATCTTGAATCTTTTGAATCAGCTACCAGTGTGTTGCATATTTAATCATGATTATAGTATAATTTTTATTTTCACCTTTCCTTAAACATCATATAAAAACTGATTGGTGTTTTTTTTAATACATATACCTTAGATTGCCCCTTTCTGTTTTTAAGTGGACGCTTTAGAATAAATATGTACTTTCTGAATATGTATTGTTCAAGCTGTCTTACATCAAATGGCCTTTTATTACATTTTCAACACAATATGTTATTATTTCATGTATATATTTTGATGTCTCTGTAGGTCTATGGTCCAGATCCCACGGGTTCCCGCACAGGCTTTACTACTGACTACAGAGCGTCCCAAGTGCTTTGGCCTCATGAGAATCAGGAGGAGCTAAAGAGGCAGGTGAGGAATCACACTTTATTTTGAATAAGGTCTCCCCTTTTGGCTCTTTTTATTAGGGAAATCAGTGTAGATTTTCATAAACATGGCAATGAAACTGAATCTCTGATTGTAAGCATATTACACTGAAAAATAGAGATAATTCAAATGCATTCTACAGTTCAAAAGTGTGTTAGTATTTTTTTTTTTTTTACGTTGATTATGCAGACCAAGGCTGCATTTTTTTTTTTTTTTTTTTGTCCTAAAATACAGTAAATAACTGTAACTTGTCAAATATTATTACAATTTAACCCTAAAACTGTATTCTGGACAAATGTGGGCAAAATAGTTTTGATTTATTTTAAAAAAAAATACTTCCCTTGATCTGAGCGGTACAAGACTTGCCTACTTTTCCTAAGTTTGCCTCCTGAACACACACAATTTTTTGACTCAATTTTACAATGTTAAGTGGGTGAAAAAAAAAACACCTTAATCTTGTATTTGGGTCAAAAATGGGCACCCATAGAAATGAATGGGGAAAACTGTAATTTAGAGCATTCTAAAATAAGCCAAAATAAGACACCAAGTGACAGCAAAATCACTTCATCTTAAGGTTTTAGCTCTAAGAACTTATTGGAATAATATTTTAATGTAGTTAAAAAAATAAAACTACATAATAATTAATTTACATAGAAAATATGGTACTTTTTGAAGTAAATATATTCAAAAATACCCCCAAAATAAAAAAAAACACCATAAATGGATAGACAAAACTTTATCGAAGACAGTGATATAACATTTATAATAAATAAAAATTAGGATCACATCTGAGTCCTCTGTGCTCACATTTGTCCACAATTACAGGATTAAGGGCTATAAAGTGAATACGGTTTGATGGTTAAAATAACTTTTTTATTACTTTAATATAGTTTATCAGCCATTACTCCAGTCTTTAGAGCCACATGATCCTTCAGAAATCATTCTAATATGCTTATTTTCTGCTCAAGAAACGTTTCTTATGATTATCAATGTTGAAAACAGATGTGCTGTCTAATATTTTGGTGAAAACGGATAATATATATATATATGTTTCTTCAGGATTCTCTAATGAATAGAAAGTTCAAAAGATGAGCGTTTTATAAATGATATTGAATATTGAATAAATGTCTTTTAATGCCACTTTTGATCAATTGAATGCATCCTTGCTGAATAAAAGTAATACTTCTTAAAAAAAACTAAACAAATACCAACTCTAACTGTAGTGTATTTAGCGTTTAGTCTTGATTTAGGTGGAGTCTGTTTTTAACCCAAAACAATGTTGTCTTCAACAAGTGCTAACTGTAATGTTTCAGAGGCAGTCTCAGTTCCTCATGTATCGACGTCACTTCATGGATACTGAGCGAGAGCAAGTGAAGGAGCACCAAAGGCACAGGAAACATCTTAAGAGAACTGCAAGGTCAAACCTCACCACATGTTCACAAGACTTTTTTCTACAACAGCGCTACATTTTCATAAATTCACTGCTACTAAAAAGGTTGTCTATTTTCATTCCTTTCCACGTGATGGTTGCTCACTTCTCTTTTGGTTTCTGTAAGAAAAAATTGAGGACGTTAAAGATCTCTATTAAAAAGTTTACTGCAGCATAGCAGTGATAAAGTACACAAAGCACCTTGGGTTATACAGGCTCGAACATTTTATACTGTTTCTACACTAGTCTTCCCTTGCACCGTGCAAACAAGGTTTCGTTTTAAATTTAAATTGATAAAGTGATAACCTTCCGTACCCACATCACAGATGTTAGTAAAGGTGTGATCACTAAAGGGGTCGTGTGATAGGATTATACTCAGAAAGACATTTGTCTTAATGATTGGTAATCACAGTCACTTTGTCACAGGATAGTTCTTGATGTCCTGCTGCCGCTTCCATGCAATAACTGATTAAATACTATTCCGGTGGTACTATTGTCATATTACTGAGACCAGAGCAAAATGTCTCTGATAACAAAGTCATTTTGGGGTAGCCTGGTTAAAACCAGACCATTCTCAGTTTGTAACTCAAATCTAAATTTGCCGGAAATTGTCTGGGTTTTCCCAGGCTAATTTTGGGGATGAGTTCTTTCGTAAATGTATTTTGGATTGTAATCTGGGACAGACTTATTGCTTACATTTCTCTCCTGTAGTCAGGCTATGAGAAATAGTTTACATGAATGATTAGTTAATGTAAAATAGTAATAATACTGAATTTAAACTAAGACTGTGAGCAGGGTTGCCATGTCTTTGGGACAAAGACCAATGTAAAAAGACATGACTTGATATTCTAAAAGGTCACTCCCATTACTCATTACAAATGCAGTGATTTAAAATTTTCTTGTAACCATTATGCCGTTTCCTTTTGATTCCCAGAAAAAAAAAACACATACATTTTCAAAATGTAGGTTTTCTATTGATGACATAGAATTTAGGTTCAAATGTATATGTATGTGCACATATGAAAATATTTAGGACAATTAATTTAAAGATGATTTTTAGATGTAATTTTTCATTACAATTTATATTTAAAAAAAAAAAAATCATTTTAGAAACCCGTCCGTACGCTTTACTGCATGTATTGCGCTATTGAAGCGAGTAACCACACATTTTCTTTTCATTAAGTTGTCCAAGAACACAAAAGACTTCATGTTGCGCTCTTATACTTTCTTTTATAAACCCAGAGAAATCTTTGCTGTGTGTAGGATTAAGAATGAAAAAGAACAACTCAGGAAAGCTGAAGAGAAGAAGATGGAAAGGCAGCGACAGCTGGAGGAAGAAAGAAAAGACATGGCTGAGAGGGAGTATTTGATTTTGGAGCGATTGAGGCTTGATGAGGAGGAGGCAGCAGAGACGGTAGAGAGACGAGAAAGAACAAAAGGGATCAAAGAAAGCAAACGGTACATACTGCCAATAAATGCATGACTATGTTCATTATTAGCATAAAAACACTACTGATCAAAAGTTTGGGGTCAATAAGATTTTTTGAAAATCGTCCCCTTGAAAATCGTCCCCCATTCTATCTGACATTTTTGTCAAAATTGAGTTATTCACATATTCTTATTCTTTGACAATTTATTTACATTATGTGATGTGTTTTGTACATTTAGGGTCCCTGTTATTTTTATGTTTGAAAGAAACTTGTTCCCTATACACATTTTCTTATATGGAATGCAAAAACTTTGAAGCTCAATATCTCAAAACTGTTCAGAACGCAGATAGAACCTTATAATTCCAAGGGGACGAAATGTTGACCAAGGCTTCATTTATTTGATCAAACACTACTTTATATTGTGAAATATTATTCATTTAACATAACTGTTTTCTCTTTTAATATATTTTCAAATGAAATTTATTCCTCTTTTGGCAAATCAGAATTTTTAGCAGCCATTATTCCAGTCTTCAGTGTCACATGATCCTTCAGAAATCATTTAAATGCTGATTTGCTGCTCAAGCAACGTAATGTTTCTATGCAAAGCTGCGAATTTAACTTATACGCAAAATTGGAATGTCGCATAAAACATTTGTGATATAAAGCAGTGTCTCCATCCCATGTTTTCAAAATTGTCACTTCCTGGGAAATTGGCTCAAAATAACTGTAATAAAAATGGAAATGGCTGCAACCTGATTTTTTTTTCCTCCATCATAAATGACTTACTCAGATCGTGCAGATGAAATACAATAAATGCTGTCATTCATCTTGCGTTTGGATGCCTGATGTTTGGGAATGCATGCAATCATGTGATTATGGTCATTATGCCAAATCATTTTGATGAAAGGCATTTGTTCAGGCATTTTAGAATAACTAAAACAACATTTGAGATGCTGTGCAATATAACTGGTCCGTTGTTTAGTCCAGTCATCCAATCGCATCTTTTATTCATGTGAGCCAATTGGGTGGTGGTGGTGACGCAGTGGATAAGACACATACCTTTTGGTGTGAGAGACCCGGGTTCGAATCCACTGCGAGACACCAATGTGTCCCTGAGCAAGACACTTAACCCCTAGTTGCTCCAGAGACGTGCGACCTCTAACATATATAGCAATTGTAAGTCGCTTTGGATAAAAGCGTCAGCTAAATGAATAAATGTAAATGTTCAGGAGTTGTGTTTGTTTTGTTATTTATTCTGTAAATGTGTTTCCATCATAGTTTATGCACGTCTTCATCACTCAATTAAGCGCATACATTTTTTGTGCACATTTTTAGTATTGATGTGCATCTTAGCATTTCCATCTGGCGTTTATTTTTTGATGTAATATCCCAAAATTGATGATGAATAGATGAATAGAAAGTTCAAATGAATAGTTTATTTTTTTAAATAGAAATCTTTTGTTTTATACATTATAAATGTCTTTACTGTAACTTTTTATATGCATCATTGCTGAATAAAAGTGCTTGCTTTAAAAAAAAAAAACAATTAAAAACCTTAATGACCCAAACCATCATAACCATGCACCATAACATCTATTGTTTCACATTTAAAAGATCAGAATGGTGTTTAATAACATGTAAAGAGCTGTCATGGCATGTGATGATTCTGTGACAGGTACATTGAGGCTATGCAGGCTCTGCTGAAGGAGAAACTGAAGAAGGACAAGGTACAGCTGCCTCCCCTGTGTTCCTGTGGAGACACTTTCTGGGACAGCCATCCTGACACCTGCGCCAACAACTGTATCTTCTACAACAATCCAAAAGGTAAACTGCTCACTCTGTATCCGTTTCATTTCATATTGTAGATTAAGTGTATAACACCTCGCTGCTTAGGGTGACCACCCGTCCCGCGTAGCGCGTGCGCGCACAGCGCTAGAAGCCCAATTCATGCGTCCCGCAAATTGAGACCGTGTCACGCATAATCAATGCTTGCTCAAAAAAAAAAAAAAAAAAAAAAAGTCGGTCAGTCTATATCCTTGAGACCCAGGCAGCCAAACCTTGTGCCTGAACTCGTTCACGTTCATGAACTCGTTCATATTGTGGGTGAGCTGAACGTATTGTTTTACTGCCTGTCCTGATTAACGTGTGAACTCGTTCATTCTGGTGTCTGTGAACGCACGCTCTCTCAGTTTAACTTTGTTCAATGGGGTGCTAGATTTCTATAGAGCCTTCCAGGCGAAAGCCCGGCTAAAACTCAACGTAAACAGGGCTTAATATGTAGCGAAAAAAACACCCAATCTGGCAACACAAGCCACCAGTGTCGCACCGCGGTTGCCGTCGACAAAGGCGTCATATGATAATTTAAACGAATTTTATAACGAGGTCGGTGAAGATGGGAAAAATCTTACATTTCTGTGCAAACTTTGAACTGAACTAGTTCATTTTAAAATGTGTGAACTAAACTTTGAACTAGTTCAGAAAGTGAGAACTTCCCCAAGACTGGTTGCCACTCCCACGTGACCTGCTGAGGTTGATGTCAACTTTTTCATTGTTGTCATGACAGCACACCTTGTCGTTCCGTGAACCTCTGGAGTTGTGAGTTTAGACTTTTTTTCAACTTTTTTAAAAACTGTTCCTGTGGTGTTGAGGAACTATAATTACTGTTAATCCTATAATTAGGGGTTCAAGCACGAAGTGCTGAAACCCTATTGTAATTGTATTGATTTTTATTATTAGGGGTTCAAGCACGAAGTGCTGAAACCCTATTGTAATTGTATTGATTTTTATTATTATTATTATTATTATTATTATTATTATTATTATTCTGCCGTAAAACGCATCGTGCAGACCAAACCGTAAGTGCTGCAGTTCTGAAACTTTGTCAGATGGTAGTACAAAAATCGAGGAGAGGTTATCAAATTATGAGCCCGATTGGCCCATAGGTGGCGCTATAGCGACCAATTGCGCGAAACTGCTCATAACTCCTAGACCGTAAGTCGTACACTCAAGTGTCTTATATCGTTGGAAAGCTGGTCACCTGACGAAAAAAACGTATATCTCCGATTTCATTTCCGTCATGATAGATTTTCCGCCATTTTGAATTTTGTCGAAAAACTACTTTTGCGAACTAGTCCCTGGATTTTTGCCCGATCGGAACCAAACCAGTGCAGAAATGTTCTCTGGAGTCTGAAGATTAATAATTATCAAAAAAATGTTGAAATTTCTCGTTCCGGTCGCTAGGGGAAGCAAAATAAACGTTGTGGGAGGAGCCTATTTTAGTAAAATGGCTATAGCTCGAGAAGTAAATGAGATATCTTCACCAAACTCGGTACACATGTGTAAGAGTTCAATTTGAGGTGACAGTAAAAAAATCGCGACGATTGAACACTAGGTGGCGCTATAAAATGAAAAAAACAGATAAACACCTGACCGTCAGTCCGATTGACTTGAAAATTGGTATGCAGTGTCTTGGTCCAAGGCCTCATGTAAGTCTATAAGGACATTGGTGTATCTCAAAAAACATGGCCGCCATCGGCCAATGAAGTTTGAGCATCTATGAAACAAGGTTAACGAAGGCCGATCGGAACGAAACTCGTTGGGAATGTTCGACTCATGGCCCTAGAGGTCTGTAAAAATTTGAAAGAAATCGGCCACTAGTTGGCGCTAACGAGTTTTATTGCTCTGTAATCACGTGGTGTTGCACACACCCCACAAAATGTATATCAATTGATAGATCTCCTCATGATGAACAACTTTGCCTCAAGAACCATTGCTGTCAATCAATTCGTTCGTTAAATATTCACGAATATGTTAAAAACCTACTTTTGCGAACTAGTCCCTGGTTTTTTGCCCGATCGGAACCAGACTAGTCTAGGATAATTCTTTGGACTCTCTTGATCAATAATTATCCAAAAAAGTTCAACTTTGTCATTTGTCTTGCTATAACAGGGTCATTTACAAAAGGGGGCGTGACAAAAAGCCCCCAAAGCCTGTAAATCCTAAAGGAAAACTCAGAACTTTACAAAAATTGATGAGCATATGTTGTCATAACATGCTGAAGAAGCATGCACAGTTTCATGGAGATCGGACCATAGGTGGCGCTATAACTGTTAAAAAGCTTTAAAACCATGTATTTCCAATGGTAAATTGCCAGTATTGGGTGTAAATGGTGTTTTCCATCTCTGATCATATCATAATGTTAAAACCAGTGCAGTACAATTCTCTGGACTCTCTAGATCAATAATTATAAGAAAAGGTTGAACTACTTCAATGTGGATGGCTTCAACATGTACTGTGTTGAAGCCATCTATTACTACACTTTCAGTGTCCCTGAAAGCGTTGATCTCTTCAATAAACAAGTCAGAAACGTGACATTAAATAATCATGAACATTTTCAGACAGATCGGACAAAATATGCCTGTAGAACAGTTAAAAAGGTGAAAATGATGGTCTGTTAAGCCAATAAGTGGAGTTTTACTGCCACCTGCTGTTCAAAATAGTAAGTTGTCATGTATAATTCATATTATGACTTTATCAATTCACTAACTTAACATTTACAATCACATTTAGTCAAAAAGTACTATGACAACTGTCATATTGAATTAAAATCTACACACACTCATTCAGTTGTAGATAAATGATATGAATACCTACCACTGTTGTCACTGTTTTTAACATAGTTTTATAACATTAGATTACAAAGAAATATCCCAAAGGTGTGTGTGTGTGTGTGTGTGTGTGTGTGTGTTTGTGTGCGTGTGTGTGTACATCTCTGATCATATCATAATGTTAAAACTAGTGCAGTACAATTCTCTGGACTCTCTAGATAAATAATTAAAAGAAAAAGTTGAACTACGTCATGTGGATGACTATAATAGGATGGCTTCAACATTTAGTGTGTTGAAGCCATCTATTTATACACTTTCAGTGTCCCTGAAAGCGTTGATCTCTTCAATAAACAAGTCAGAACATGTGACATTAAATAATCATGAACATTTTCAGACAGATCTGACAGAATATGCCTAAATAACTGTTAAAAAGGTGAAATGATATCAATATGATGGTCTATTTAGCCAATAAGTGGTGTTTTACTGCCCTCTGCTGTTCAAAATAGTAATTGTCTCACTACTCAACTATAATTAATATTATGACTTTATTAATTAACTATTTTAACATTTGCAATCACATTTAGTCAAATATTGAACACAATCATTTTTTTTTGTCAAAGTTTATCACTTCAGTTGTTCTGAATCTTCACATAATTGCTATTAACGTGGTAAATAGCTATACTATATTCCTAGAATCACATTAAAATCCAATCATCCAAGCCCCAATCACTGTAAATAATGATAAATCATGCTAGAATGTGGTAAATTAATGTACACTATGGTCAGAGGTGTAGTGGTAAAAAAATAGGTGGGTAAACTATAAATTCTGGTGTATTATTTCGAATAATAAGACACTATGGGCTGTTACTCTAGGGGCTGATCAAATTAAATCATTTACACTGAAAAATCACAATTGCATAAAATAATGTTATGACATTTATTTAAATTTACATAAGAAACTGGGAAAGAATGATACTACTTTTAAACATTTAACACTAAACCGCCAGTAGGTGGTGGCAGGCGACCGTCTTAATGAGTGAGTCATTCAATTCATTCATTCAAACGATTCGTTCAAACGGCTGATCATTCAAGAATGAGACCGATGTTTTTGAATGTGTCTTTGAATCTTTGACTCAATCGATTCGTTCAAAATGCTGAATGATTCAGTAAATGAAAACACGTCGAGTGTTCCTGTGACATGTGCCGTGGGTCTGCTGTGATTATTGTTTGGAACTATTTTCGCTGCTGAAACACAACAAAAACAGCCAACATAGCATCTAAAATGTAAGTGATTTAATTTTTTACTGTTTATTGAACTGTTGTAGGAAATCAATGTCACATTTTCAATCGTGATGGTGTTCAGGAAAAATAAGAGACCCCATTTACACCTGGTATTAAAATGCGATCTGTATCCAGACAAGTTATCCGGATAATAAGTAGCGATTCCATTTACACCTGGCCACATAAATGTGTTTTTGCAAAACGGATATAAATCCGATCTTAAACTCCCGCGTATGCAGATTTAATGGATTGAACGACACCAAAAGCAACAGATATGACTGCATTTCGTTGATCATCAGCTAATTTCCAAATCAAAGACATCAATAAAAGAGTGGCAACACCGCTGGTAAGATAATTTCGTTTCTTTACTTGAAGATGATTGTGTGTTAAGCCTCTGTGACTTACTTTCACTTTTATTTGCGATGTTTGCACGTTGGCTCGATGAATAGACGCTCAGCTGCTCATCTGCGGTGATGGGTGATCCGTGTCGCAGTAGCGCCGTCATATCTGACCAATATCATGACATATAGCCTATATAACAAGCTCGCTCGTTTATTTTTTTTGCCTTTTGGGAGGATTAAAATATACATATGTGGTTCAACAACCAGATTGCGTTTACACCTAGTAAAGATCCGGACACACTGGCAAGCCAGACTACCTCCAGATGTGGTCAGGGCAGATCCGATCGCGATCAACACGCATTTACACCTTGCATTAACATGCGTTTTTTTTATTATCCGGATAACTTATCTGGATACAGATCACATTTTAATACCAGGTGTAAATGGGGTCTGAGTGTGTTCTGCGCTCATTTGTGTAGATTTCTGCTCGAGAGGCTGCGCGAGGGTCAACAACAGTACAACCTTACCGTCAGTAATAGTCAACAACACAGTAATGCAGCGCAATATAAGAGTTCGTCTTAGGTGCCTGTTGACTTTGGATCAATGCATTGTTTGTGTGTTGTTGGGTGGGTGACGTGACA